CGGGAGCGGTGCGGGACCGGGAGCGGGACCGGGAGCGGTGCGGACGGTCGGCGGGCGGGCAGTGCCGCCTGCTGGGCAGCGGGGCCGGGCCGGGGCCGCTCCCCGAGCTCGGGGGATACGGTTCATCCCCCCAGGGCACAGCAGCTCTGCCTGGGATGGCTGTGGAGCCACGGGAAGGGGAGCGGGGACAGCTCCAGCAGCGGGGACGGAGCGGCGGGAGCCCCGCGGGGCTGGCGCCGCTGTCACGGAATTTCACAGGAGCGAAACTTTCCCGGGCTGGAAAAGTATTGAGACAGCCGTCATCTTCCTCCTGTCTTCACGGTTTGGAAGAGCTCCTGGGATGATGAGGAAGGGTCTGGAGGATGGATCTGCTGAGGGAACTGGGGGAGCTCATCCTGGAGAAAAGGAGGCTCAGGGGGGATCTCTTCCCTCTCTGCAGCTCCCTGGAAGGATGTCGTAGCCAGGTGGGGCTTGGCCTCTTCTCTCAGCCAGGTGACAAGTGACAAAACAAGAGGAAAATGGCCCCAAGTTGCACCAGGGGAGGTTTGGATTGGATGTTAGGTAAAAAATGTTCACTGAATGGGCTGTCAAACACTGGAACAAGCTGCCCAGGGCAGTGGTGGGGTCACCAGGGTTGCAGGGCTGATTTATCCCAGCTGGAAGCGTTCACTGGATCATGCCCATGGGAAATGGATCAGGACCAACACTGATGCCTTCCCCTCTCAGTCCTGGGCAGACAGCACGAAGTCTGTCCCTTCTCAGACCAGCTTGGAGGGGAGAGCAGTAACGCACTGACCATGGTGGTGAATTGGATAAATTTGTCTTTTAAAAATACCCCAGCAAGGAAAAAGAAAAAAAAATAAGAGAAGTTGAAATGCAATCCCATAAAGAAGCCCCTCAGACTGTAGGAAAGTTGCTTGGGATTGGGAGAAATGAAGGAGGGAGGGAACTTTTGGGGACTATAAAATAATCACCACCCTACGACAGTCCCTTGATAAGCAAAATGTAAAAAAGTCCTGCCAAAAAATAATTAAGTCCTCAGTTCCTTTTCTTCCCACAAAGATTTTTCCCCTCCTCACATTGCACGACACCACCACAAAATCCTTAACTAATTACCTCAAATTAGTGGGCTTTTAATACCTTTTATGTTGCCTTTTTTTATTAGGTATTTTCACCCGTATCTCATGCTGGGTGTGTTTGAGGGGCTGGCAGGGACACATATTTCACAGTTATGGCAATTCCATATCTGAAAAAACAAAAAATAGTTTTTTCAGCTCTGAGTGAAGTGCTCCTCTGAGCAAGTTGTTGTAGTAAATTAAACTTTATATGCTGCATTTGATCCAGCCATGGAATTTCTCTGCTCCTACCATCCCCTGGCTTGCTGTTACCTCCTCACCATGCTACAGAAAGATGGATAATTGCTGAGGTCCATTAACTCTCAAAATTATGCTTGTCACTCTTTTGTTCAAGTCATTCTTGACAGGTAAATGCATGTATTGATCTGGTGATATGCAGGCAGCCTCAGACTTGAATTATTCTGCTGCAAGGAAGAAATCTGAGCCCTGCAAGCAGCTCTGGAGCTCCGCAGAGGTTTCCATGTGAAGGTTCAGCCCTGCCTGAGGTGCCGTGTTTGCAGGAGCACACATGGCAGCGTTCAGCAGAGCAGCCTTTTAATAACTCCACAGGAGTTTAGTTAATGCCTCCAAATGGCATTTGTGCGCCAGACCCAGCAGTCTCTGTTTTTTGCAGAGTTAATCCCTTTTGTTGCCACACTTCTGTTCAGTATGAGAAGGAGGTTTTACACAATAATCTTCAAAAATGCACTGGAATTGCCCTTAGAGTGCATGAGTTACATCCCACACAGCAACAGAGCAGAAGGGAAGCTGTCCCAAGAGCAGATCAGCTCTTCTGGGAAGCTGGCAGCTCACACTTGTTTTGTTCAGACAAATTACAGCTCTGATGTCACCAGTGCCATGATGTAGGTAGGACACGTGGGCCAGTGCAGTGGTTGCCCAGAGAAAGGTTCAGAGCCCAACTTGGGTTCACCCAGGTGGATTTGAAATTTGAAATTTGAAATTGCACAGAAATCTGGGAGAGAGAGGATGTCACCATTTCTGTTCACTTTTAGTCCATCAGAAGCAGCAGTGAGTGGCTCCTTTATTGCCTGTCAAACCAAATAATTCCAGTAACAGACCACTGCAACTCCTTTGCTTCCTGATGCTTAAGGATCTGCACATGCTGAATCATCCTCACAGCACAGAGCACAGCTCTCAGACCCTCAAGGCCTCCCTGTGCATCAGCCTCCCACCAAACTCACTAGTAAAATACCTTCTGTTTCTCTCTAGGCTTCATCTGTAAAATTTTATGAGAAGAAAATCTGTGCAAGTTGAGCTGTGAGTATAAATCTCTGTCTCAGGGAGGGTAAAAAAAAATCTCTCACAAACAAAGGTTTCTCTGTTGCATGTGTAAGGGCAGGAAAGGTAGGAAGTCCCACGAGCTCAAAGCAAGAGGGAACTGTGCTGGGAACTCAGCTGGCTGCAGTGCAGGATCCAAAAGCACCAGAAATAGAGATATGCACATCAGATTCTTCCCCCTCACAAGCTTCTGCTGTGGCATTGCCTTCATGGCAATAGATAATTTGAAGGTGATTTAATCCATGCCCTTCTCATGAGCATGAGGACCACCTTCTCTGCAGTGAAATGCTTTTAGCTGTGATCTGGTCTGCGAGCAGTGCCCATTTATAGTCTGGCTTTGGAAACACAGCTTCACTTCTCAGTCCACCACAGGAAAACTCATTCCAAGCATTACTGAAATCTTGTTTCAATCCTGTTTTGGGAATTTAAGTGGGATGGGC